TAATTCTAACCTGCAACTTAGTAGCTGTGAGGACTTGGGCTCAGCTTCGCCATCTGCAAAGTGTAGATAATAGTAATTGCCTGGTTCATTAGGTTGTTTTTTGAGCACATGGGAACAGTTCTGGTGCAATTTCTATAATAACGATGCCGAGAAGCTAGCCATCCTCAGTAAATGTTGTATTCGCTTCTCAGCCAGTGACTGCTACTGTTGTTAATATTGCCACTGTTATCCTTGTTATTTGAGGGTTTTCTTTCACTAGGGTTAAACTTGTCAAAATAGGCTTCTGGGACCACATCATACTGTGTGATTGTAGGATGTCACGCAGGGCAGTGTAGCCCCCCGTTTTCAAGCATTACAAGACTAATCAGCTGTGATCTCGCAACTTCATTGCAGTGTTCAAGACCTTGCTTTTTCCTCTCTTTGATGGTAGGTGTTCCTAAAAGCCGACGAGGAGAAATCTGGCAATTCCTAGCTTTACAATACCGTCTTCGACACAGATTGCCAAATAAACAGCAACCCCCTGATGTTTCCTATAAAGAGCTTTTAAAGCAGCTCACCGCTCAGCAGCACGCTATTCTCGTGGATTTAGGTATGAGTGATTATAATTTACAAAAGTCAACAAGTAGGTCCTTTTGTTGCGTTTGGAGTTTTTTTTTAATTTGTTTTTGGTGTTGATAAAGAAGATCTGTTGGTCTGCAGAGTTGCTGACTTTGTCCTTTCCTAGGGGCGAGTTATTGGCCTTACATCTGATTGAGCATACCCTAAATGCCTGAGTATAAAAAGATGTCTTCATCCTGAAACTTGACCTCTGCCAAGGCAGTCATCTTGTATTTGAATCATTTTAAAGGTCATATTATCGAGTGCTCTTAGTTCCTGTTTTTTTGAACAACCGACTTTTATTTGTGATAGACAATTATTATCTCAATCAATGCTGGTCTTAAAATAGGTTAGGATAGGTTAAAAGGGGCAGCAGAAAAGTTAACAGAAGTCTGCCAAGTATTCTTGGACATACAGCTGAAAACAAGGCTTTAATATCACTTTTAAAAAACAATACAGCAGGTATTATGTTGTGGAAATCATGAACATGTCCTTATAGGATAGAAGAACAACTAGCTGTCCTAATGCTGTATGGATTTCTAGTGGCTCCATCTGCTATCTTTTTAAATACTGAATTTGATTCAAATAAGGAAAATAAATATGGTTATGATTTTAAAAATTGTATTGTCTCTAATTTTTCTCTAAATCAGCCTATCATGTTTTATTAGTTTAAAATAACTAATTTATTGGATTAAATATTATACATTGACATTTGACTATTTCATCCGTAGTCCTAAAAGTTGGTATATTTAAGGTGGTCAGATACATTATTTGAGCCCATCTGGGAGAACAAGGGATTACCTTGTACTTGAGGGTCACATTATATTATATAGGGCATATAAAAATCACTGGCCAAGATCTAGTTTTGACCTCTGTGCTGTTTGGGTGACAAACAGCTTTTGTTGGGAAAGAGCCCCACTCAGTATTTCTTGAGCCAACTAGAATTGCAAAGGGTAATTTTACAGAGAAACTGAAAACTCCAGTTCTTGTCCTGATTCTACCACTAAACTGTAGTTTTAGACAACTGACTTTGCTGCTGAATTTCAGTGCTGTCTCTTAAATGGACAATGAACTGGCACCCCCCGTGGATCCCCGCAGATCTGTGGGTCTGTGACTGGAAGGGGTGACGGGAGAAGTTGGGGTGTTGCTGTTAGGGCCAGTCAAGATATCTTAGTGAAGAGAAGGAGATGAGGAGTTCACATTTTCGGAAAAGGCTGGTCAGGAAAAAATAGAGCTAGACAGAATTAACATCTTGGATGGACAGTATATTTATAGTTTTCTTTAGCAAACATTTTAAGGGAGAAAGTAAAATGATCATTTAAAAAACTGCTTATTTGACTTTTCTTGTGGCCATCTGTGTTTCCCCAGCGTGTTCTTATTTTCTTCTATCTTCCTCTTACTGGCTCTGCAGAATTAATCTTATCAGTTCTGGGGGAAAAAAAAAACCACTTTTAAGCATATGTGGTGGAAAACATTTAAAAATCTGGCATTCTTACAAATTCTAACTGACATGAGTAATCATTTCACAAGGAAGCTAACACCCCCTTCATTTTCACGGCACAAGGAAAGTCCCGAATCACTGTCTGGAGCCTTGGTGGTGAAGATGGGTTTATTTCATTGTTTAGTACCAACATTTTAATAATCCAGGACTAATTTTGTCTGCCTGCTTAAGTGTCTCTGTGGCAATTTTATACCCAGTGGCAACTTTATTTAAAATCATCTTGACCCTTTACTATCCTTGTCCTTTTTGAATTTATTGAAAAAAAAAAGGTCTACGTGGCTCACGGAGGTGGTTTAAGAAACAGGGAGCTGGGGGGGGTGGGTATAGCTCAGCAGTAGAGCACATGCTTAGCATGCACAGCATGCATGAGGTCCTGGGTTCAATCTCCAGGACCTCCATTAAAAAAAGAAACAGAGAGCTAAGAATATTTGAAAAAGAAGCATTTTCTAAATGATAGGCTGAATGTAAAACAAAATAACCCTCAAAGTCCCTCCAACGTCATATTGCAAGAAAAGCAGGAAGACATCTGCTAAGAACCACTAAGGTTTCTTTTCAAGTTACATGATACCTCTTGTAGAATTCTGATTTCAGTTAGAGGGTGGTTTTATGTGAACTTAGAATTTGCCTTGACTTATAGTCAGGGTAAGTTTTATATTCTATTTTCCTGGGATCACTCCTGAATGTGTCTTTGATTTGTTTGTGGAATATTTTTTTTCTAAAAAGAAGTGCTGGTTAACGCCAAATGTTTGCTCCCCTGTCATATATGTGGAGAAGGGGCGGTAGTCTGGCAGGTAGCTTGGGATTGACGAGAGGGAGAGAGATTGTCAATCAAAGGAGCACTCCAGGCAACTCTGACCGGTGCGGGAAAGAGCATTTGTTTATTCCTGGAAATCACTGACTTGGAATTTCACTCTGGTCTCCAAAGCATCAGGGCATCTCAAAAATATTTTTCTTTTCCTCTGCAGGGAGGACTTTTCCTACTCATCCTTACTTTTCAGCACAGCTTGGGGCAGGGCAGCTGTCCCTCTTTAACCTCTTGAAAGCCTACTCGTTATTGGACAAAGAAGTGGGTTACTGTCAAGGGATCAGCTTTGTGGCCGGAGTCCTGCTCCTACACATGAGTGAAGAGCAAGCCTTTGAAATGCTGAAATTCCTCATGTATGACCTAGGCTTCCGCAAGCAGTACAGACCCGACATGATGTCACTACAGGTGAGATGATGTCGCTACACGGAGATTTTCCCAGAGATCCTAGCAGGAGCCTGCTTCTAGATTACAGTTCAGATCAAAAGAAAGTCTTTGAGCATGGATAGATGTAGAGGCCTGTTATAGTTCATGGTTTTAGTGTGGGATTTGCGACTTTGCTAAACCTTAAAGCGCATGACATTCATACGCAGGGTAACTTTTCCATAGTTTCTCACGTAAATAAATAAGCAATTCTAGGGGGTCCTCAGGTCTGTATTTCCTAAGTATGCTAGTTACCAGAGAAAGTATCAAGTTATCTTTATTCACATTCCTCATTTTGTCAGTTGAAAAGAATCGTAGATCTTTTGTTTGAAATCTGAAAATAAAATGTTTTATTCTTTTACTGTGAGTGCGTAAATGGCAGATATCTTGATCATGCTTCTTCTTGAACTTTCCATCACTGTCAGACAGCCCCTTATAAAAACAAGTGTTCAGAGTCAGCGGTGCTTTTTCAGTTGACTTTTCTTAGTGTGCTCGAAGAAGCAATGTTAAGATTTTTTAGTTAACTAGGGAGTATTCACCACCCTTGCCATCTTCAGCCTATTTCAGATTCTCTGTTTACACATTTCGTTTCTAGTTTAAACTTCACTTTCCTTAAAGTATTAGTTTCTAATGAGAAGTTTAAAGTTTATCTGTAGATATGATAAACAACCACTACCTTACAATTTAAAGCTTTTAGTTGTAAAAATATAAAGGAAGACTTTAAAAAGAAAAATGTCAGGATTCTCCTCCTTTGAAACGAGGTAGGCATGGTGCCCAGTTAGTCATAATATTATGCTTTAGATAAGAACAAAAATATTTTTAAAATGATTTTAAAATACACTTCTAATATACTTTTTCCTGGTTCCCAGTGATCAGTTTTTACATTTAATACTTCAGTTAACAACCCATGGGCAAAAAAAGACTTTGTTTCGCTTTCTGAATATTATAGTAAATGGTATTTTCTTGAGAGGATGAGTGGAGAGGGATTTTTTTCATTACTTCTTCAAGGTGAAATTCTTGGCAGGGAGATAGGGCTTTGCCGTCAGTGTTGGATTTCAGCTGTGAGTTCATAAGAGGGGGTGTTCACCAGGATACATGTATCAAATACAGTGATTCCTAGTTGATAACTGTTCATAGGTCTATAAACATTCCACAAGTGAAATAATAATGACTATAGAAGGTTTTTATTTTTTACTTTATTTCTAAGCAGTTTACTGTAGCATATTAGTTCAGAAGCATTTGGTGCCTTTGTAAAGAATTAAATAGCTCTGATTTTCAGAAGTAACACTTTGGGAGCTATCGTTAAAAATTCAAAGAACGGAGAGTATCTGAGTAGCACACGGCCTTGGTTCGTAATTAAAAAGTTTAGATACAGCTATGGCTTTGAAAATGCAGTGATTTTTCAATTTAAAAATTCCTCATCAATTTAACCTTATAAAAATTCATTTAAATTGGATTTATACATTAATTTAATATATCTTGCAATTACCAAGAAATAGTTTATGTCCATAATTATGAAAATGAAGATGTTTTAAAATCTTTGGTGGCAGCATTCTTAAAGGCCACGAGACTGGGGACCTTATTCTGGGAGAGCAGAACTTTTTGATCCATAAAGTGAGATGCAACACTACTTTCTGGAGCAGATAGTATTTATTATCCAATCAGTATGACCTTCAAAAGTGGAAGCAACAGTGGGCTTGCAATCACGTGATAGGATTTCTGATTACCTGCCTGTGTCAGCTTGGGCCTTTCTGGCTATCTTCCTCAGTTACCTTATCTGTAAAGTGAGAGGATTGAAGTCTCTTTTAACTCCATCTCATCATGTTTTTTGTCTGCTGTTCTCCGTGTAAAGTGTAAAGCATTAAATCTTTTTTGTCTGAAGCCTCTGGTCTCTGCTTTTTTCCATCTTCTCTTCCCCTCCCGCTGCGTCTCCCTTTCCCAGTTCTGTCTCTTCCATCTGAGGATTTGCCATGTTATCCATGAGGTAGAAGGGGAGAATGATTTAGTCCTAGCAAAAAGTATCATATTATTAAAGTTTTCTTTGAAGGGAGACTGAATTGCGTTTTCATTTGTCCTTTTCAAAAGAAATTTAATGTAAATATACCTTGAAGGAAGACGTGTTCTTAACCCTTAGTTTAGAATGTAGGAAAAAGTAAGGTCCTTTTAAAAAAATTAAACATTGAGGTATTGCTTTGTGTTACGATCAGAGCTTAGCAAGAACAGGATGCTTTTGATGATAGACTTTTTTTTTTCTATTTTATTTATTTATTTCTTTTATTGAGTTATAGTCATTTTACAATGTTCAATGTCAAAATCCAGTGTAGAGCACAATTTTTCAGTTATACATGAACATACATACATTTATTGTCACATTCTCTTTCGCTGTGAACCACCAGAAGACCCTGTATATATTTCCCTGTGCCACAGAGTACAATCTTGTTTATCTGTTCTACATTTTGAAATCCCAGTCCCTTCCTACCCCACTTTCTTTTTATTTTGCTAATTAGACTTTTTTGATTTTTGTGCAAAATACCAATTTTATTGATAGGGCCCAGTGTGTCCAGTTTCTAAGTTGTAAATGGCCTAAGGGAAATACATGATTTTTTTTCAACAGGACTTAATGAGGTTATAATCTCATTTTTTTAAACGTCTTTGTTTGACTGTAGCTAAGCTTCTTTGTTTTATAGCTATGACTTCTGTGGCTCCTTAATTCTTTCCTTTTACAATTTGTATGGAACCTTGGTTTCCACGGATACGTGCTGTAAGGGTCAAATAATTTGCTGTGTTTATGTCTAGTTCTTAGATTTTTAGTTTTGTGTTCTGAAAACAATAGTTGTTGAATTGCCAATATAATTGGTTATTTTAATGTATTTTTATAGAGCTATTTAAGGATGATATTTTGATGATATCTTCTAGAGAAAGAAGTTTTGCTAGATTTTATAAAATATTGTATATATTTTACACCAAAATATTAAGCTTACAGAACTGATCGAGGACTCAATACTCAATCCATGACTGTGAAGATAAACATTTAAATTAATCCACAATTCACAAATTTGTTTATTATTTGCTACTGCTTTACCTTTAGCTACCACTGATGTAAGAGTTTCAAAGTTGTTACAAGCTGTCTCTATATTGTTCTTTTTTTTTTTGAAATATGAGCAATCAACACAGTAGCCAAGTGAAATAATTCCTTCTTTCAATCCTAGAAGCATTCCAGCTGTATTTTTTGCTTTAATCTCCTTTGTCAAGAAAAATATGCTGCAGGACTACTTTGGATGTTAGACGTCACAGCTCAAGCTTCTGGCTCCATAACCTGCTGAGCCTAGTAGTGTCCTAGCAGTGTCCCGGCAGTGCAGGTATCCTGCCGGTCTAAGCCAGAGGCTTCCATCACCAACAGCTGCTGGGCCCAGAAGGGGGAAGACGCGCTGTGCTTCTGAACTGAATGTGGTAGATTCTTTAGCATGGAAGCTTCTCTGGAATTGGTCTGAAATCAGAATGGACTTTTCCATGAGCGTCCTCAGGCAGGACAGTTCTGATTAAATTCCAAAAGCAAGGCCTTCCTACACGAGGAAAAGTGACCATTTCCATGGGTTATATGTGACACCAAAACACCCACGAGAGAGAATCTTGCTCAGTTGTCATAGACAGACTTACAGTGACTTGCCTTCAGTTAAATGAACTTGGATTTCAGGATCAACTTTAACATAATAATAAAAATAAAACACTACTACTTTGATTTACTGAATATATGTGAATTTGTTATTAAATATTAGAGTAATAAAATGAAAGTTAGTATATTTTATGTCCACTCAGATAAATGCACAATATTTTATTTTTCTTCTTTGAATTAACTTTAGATTCAGATGTACCAGCTGTCCAGGCTCCTTCATGACTACCACAGAGATCTCTACAATCATCTGGAAGAAAATGAAATCAGCCCCAGTCTCTATGCTGCCCCCTGGTTCCTCACATTGTTTGCCTCTCAGTTTCCACTAGGATTTGTAGCCAGAGTTTTTGGTAAGAGATGGCAATGGCCAAGTGGAACAGTGTTACTGATTCCAAGAGATGTGCTTCTAGCCAGGTGGGGCGCCCGTTGTTTTATCAGGCGTTGCACAGAAGAGCAGATTGCTGGTGGAATTTGATAAATACACCTGGCTCTCTTCTGAGAGTGATTTGAAACCATATTGGTCTTAAAATTGAAATTAAAAGGGAAAGGAGCAGAACTGAGCCTCTGTGTTTGAGTAATCTTATTTTCACTTACACCTAAAACTCAGAGTATAATTTGTAAAAAATCTGAATGAAGGACTTTATAATTTTTCAGATTTTTATACATATCTTTCCTACCCCTGTCTTTTCTTTTTTTGTTGTTTTCTTCCTTCCCTATTGTCCTCCTCCACCTGGACTCAAAACACAGAGAAACATGTGCTCTGACTGGGTCAAAGGAAGTCCTGATTTTTAATGTTATTTCTAATGGCATTTCTTAATGTGACTTCTTGTTGTTAATAAGGTAACTGAAAGCCCTGTTTCAATGCTTAAGTGACCCCTCTTTCATGCTGGTGCTGTGGCGGTCCCCATCTCTGAGACAGGGTGACTCAGGGAAAAGCGTGAGGTGCGGGGGGTTGGCCCGGGGCAAGGTGCTGAGTTGCAGCCTTGGTGCACAGTGTTAGGCGCCAGGAATAAAAAGAGAGTATGACGTGGTTTATGCTCCCTTTGGGGGGGCCCCTAAATCTATTCCCAAGTCTTTAGTTAGGTTTGTCTAAATCCATAATTTAAAAAGCAGTTCTGTTTTGTTTTTTTAAACAGCACTTTACTGGAGGCTCGTTCTAACATTTAGACCTCAGTGACCTCAGAA